TGGGAAAAAAGAATCCTTTCCCCCATTGAATCCCATTGGTACTTTTTTCATAAATCAAGTTTTCTGCATATATTTGTGTCTTCTGAGGAAACTATTTGTCTGTTCTTACACCAAGTCCACATTGTCTTAATTTCTGTAGCTTTATAGTAAATCTTGAAATTTGGTAGTGTATGTCTTCTAACTTCATTCTTCTACTTCAGTATAGTCTTGGCTATACTAGGGCCTTTGCATTTGCAGATAAGTTTTAGAATTACCTTGTCAATTTTTACAAAAACCTTTTAGGATTTTGACTAGGATTATACAAGGAAAGCTAGTTTTTGTTTGTTTGTTTTTTGTTTTTTTTTTCTGAGGAAGATTCATCCTGAGCTAACATCTGTGCCAATCTTCCTCTCTTTTTTTTTTTTTTTAATTTTTATAATTTTATTTTTCCCCCAAAGCCCCAGTAGATAGTTGTATGTCACACTTGCACATCCTTCTAGTTGCTGTATGTGGGACGCGGCCTCAGCATGGCCGGAGAAGCTGTACGTAGGTGCGCGCCCGGGATCCAAACTGGGCCGCCAGCAGCAGAGCGCGCACACTTAACCACTAAGCCACGGGGCGGCCCATCTTCCTCTCTTTTGTATGTGGGTCATCACCACAGTGTAGCAGCAGACAAGTGGTATAGCGTCCACGCCTGGGAACTGAACCTGGGCAGCTGAAGCAGAGTGTGTCGAACTTAACCACTGGGCCACGGGACTGGCCCCCAACATAAGCTGTTTTGATATAGAAATTCAGAAAATTCTTTACTTCAGCTAAATTTTATTCTATTAAATCTTTGAATATATTTTTTCTAGTCTGTCTGTTAATAGCTGATTGGTTTTTTTTTGTTTATGACAACATGATTTATGATAATAACATACACTTATGTTATAGAACCATATTTGCTAAATTTAGTGGAAGGAAAAAATGGTTTTCAAACTGTGGGTCATGATTCAATAGTGGGTCATGAAATCAACTTAATGGTCCTTACCAGCATTAAATACTATGAAATAGAACAGGAACTGTCAGAGTATATCATATTTAATTTTGTGAAACTTTTATACCAGCATGTATATATATTCATATCATGAGTCATGTTATATAAGGTTATTTCTTATTCTGAATAGTGTCAATACATGTTGAAAGCCAATGGCTATAGTATGGTGCTGTGTTGTATTGTTTTGTCCCCACAAATCCCATTTGTTTGTTTGTTTTTGAGGTCATATTGGTTTATAACATCGTGAAATTTCAGGTGTACATTATTATATATCAATTTTTGTATAGACTGCATTGTGCTGGCCACCAATAGTCTAATTTTTATCCATCAACATATACATGTGCCCCTTTACCCCTTTCAATCACCCGCCAACCCTCTTCCCCTCTGGTAACCACTAACCTGTTCTCTTTGTCCACGTGTTTGTTTATCTTCCACATATGAGTGAAATCATACGTGTTTGTCTTTCTCTGTCTGGCTTATTTCACTTAACATAATACCCTCAAGTTTCATCCATGTTGTTGCAAATGGAACGATTTTGTCTTCTTTTTATAGCTGAGTAATATTCCATTGTATATATATATACACCATATCTTCTTTATCTATTTGTCAGTTGTTTGGCCCTTGGGTTGCTTCCAGATCTTGGCCATTGTGAATAGTGCTGCAATGAACATAGGGGTGCATAAGCCTCTTTGAATTGTTGATTTCAACTTCTTTGGATAAATATCCAGTAGTGGGATAGCTGGATCATATGGTATTTCTATTTTTAATTTTTTGAGAAATCTCCATACTGTTTTCCATAGTGGCTGGACCAGTTTGCATTCCCACCAGCAGTGTATGAGGGTTCCCTTTTCTCCACATCCTCTCCAACATTTGTTATTTTTTGTCTTGGTAATTATAGCCATTCTAACAGGTGTAAGGTGATATCTCATTGTAGTTTTGATTTGCATTTCCCTAATGATTAGTGACGTTGAACATCTTTTTATGTGCCTATTGGCCATCTGTATATCTTCTTTGGAAAAACATCTGTTCATATCCTCTGCCCGTTTTTTGATTGGATTGTTTGTTTCTTTGTTGTTGAGTTATATGAGTTCTTTACATATTTTGGAGATTAACCCCTTGTGGGATGTATGATTTGCAAATATTTTCTCCTACTTGGTGGGTTGTCTTTTTGTTTTGTTCCTGCTTTCCTTTGCCTTGCAGAAGCTCTAGTCTGTTGTAGTCTCATTTGTCTATTTTTTCTTTTGTTTCCCATGCCTGAGTAGACATGGTATTCGAAAAGATGCTGCTAAGACCGATGTCAAAGAGTGTACCACCTATATTTTCTTCTAGGAGTTTTATGGTTTCACATCTTACCTTCACGGTTTTAATCCATTTTGAGTTAATTTATGTGTATGGTATAAGATAATGGTCTACTTTCATTCTTTTGCATGTGGCTGTCCAGTTTTCCCAATACCACTTATCAAAGAGCCTTTCCTTTCTCCATTGTATGTTCTTGGTTCCTTTCTTGAAGATTAGCTGTCTATAGATTTGTGGATTTATTTCTGAGCTGTCAATTCTGTTCCATTGATCTATGTGTCTATTTTTGTGCCAGTACCATGCTGTTTTGATTACTATAGCTTTGTAGTATAGTTTGAAGTCAGGGATTGTGATGCCTCCAGCTTTGTTCTTCTTTTTTTTTTGCTGAGGAAAATTCACCCTGAGCTAACATCTGTTGCCAATCTTCCTCTATTTTGTATGTGAGCTGCCATCACAGCATGGCAGCTGATAGATGAGTGATGTAGGTCTGCCCCCCAGGAACTGAACCCAGGCCACTGAAGTGGAGCATGCTGAACTTAACCTCTAGGCCACTGGGCCTGGCCCTCCAGCTTTGTTCTTTCTCCTCAGGATTGCTTTTGCTATTTGAAGTCTTTTGTCGTTCCATATAAATTTTAGTGTCAATAAATGCTGAAAGTCAATGGCTACAGTATGGTGCTGTGTTTTATGGTTTTATCCCCTCAAATTCCCTTTGGTTTCAAGTAAAGAAATATTGCCTGATTATAGTCTACAATTATCAGGGAAACTGTTTTTTTTTTTTTAATAAAAATACAGGGCCGGCCCCGTGGCTTGGCGGTTAAGTGCGCGTGCTCTGCTACTGGCGGCCCGGGTTTGGATCCCAGGCGCGCACTGACGCACCGCTTCTCCGGCCATGCTGAGGCCCTGTCCCACATACAGCAACTAGAAGGATGTGCAACTGTGATGTACAACTATCTACTGGGGGGCTTTGGGGGAAAAAAAGGAGGAGGATTAGGCAATGGATGTTAGCTCAGAGCCGGTCTTCCTCAGCAAAAAGAGGAGGATTAGCATGGATGTTAGCTCAGGGCTGATCTTCCTCACACACAAAAAAAACAAAAACAAAAGGTAGCATATTCAATTCAATCACCTTAGAGGTATGAGGGATAACTTCTTTGAATGGACTTTATTTGAACCACAAGTGTTTTAACTGAATAGTGGAAAGACCACTGATCTGGAAGTCAGAGGACTTTACTACTGTTTTCTGCGCCCTTAGCTATATGTCTTAACCTGTCTAAGCTTAAATTTCCTTATTTGGTAAAGTAGAAAGGAATCTTTAGGTCATTTATCTTTCAGACTTGTGAGCATTAAAGAAATTTGATACTACTTTGAAAGTAGTAAAGCAGCATCACCTGTCTGACCCCTCCCCCAATGTTGTTGAAATGTATCAACATATGGATATAAACGAACTTAGTGATTTCCATAGTTAAATCTGGCTCATGTAGAGACCAAGTTCAAGAATACATCAAATTTTAATATTGGATTAAATAATGTTTGGATTAACGATAAATATTAAAGAAAGACTATTATGTCTCTTTCAAATAATTATTGAGAGTAAGCCATTTATTTATTGATGGACCTTAGAATCCTTGATTGGGAATCTGGTGGGTGGGGCTGATTATCTCTTTCAGGTAGGAGACTAAAGTTTTTCCTTGTAGAGGTTGAGCATTTTATGGCCCCTAGCATGGGCAATATTCAATAAATACCTATTGATGGGTCAATTTTTTAAAATCTGGTTGAGCCACATTATTATTCCTATAGTTATTGTGATTCTAAACGACTTCATAGAGAGATGAAAATATGGATATTTAAATGATCTTTAAATTAGTTTCCTTTTCTACCTTTGGACAACACTTTCATAGCCCATTATATCAAAAGTATTTAATGATCCTGTTGAAATGAAATCCTTGAAATATAGGGCCTTTTAGACTATTCCAAAGCAGTTGATAACAAAAGAAACCAAAATAATTTTATACAGCATAGATAACGTGTACATAACTTCAAAATTGTAGATAGATACATGCAAAGAAGAGTCAAAGAAAAAGAGATTAAAGATAGCACTAAAAATTATGTTTATTTTTAAATTGTGAGTGTTTAAGAGTATAGAGTATCCTTACTCAATTTGTACTCCCAATGTTTATTGCATTATTTATTACAGTACAGAGCTGGCGATAACACATATTTGCTAAATTTTAAATGAATTGAGGGTGGCTGAAGTTTAGAAAGTAAAGCCCGAGTTGCGCTATCTCTAAGAAGATTGAGGAAGTAAAGATTAGAATTTTTCCATATTCTAGCCCTTTTTAATCCTTATCAGAGTTGATATCTCTGATTCACTGACATTTCCTAATTAACCAAGTTCTGCCAAGTTTCACAGCCTTCTCAGGAGGAACCGGTTTTATTCTCTTCAATCACCCTGTGGCGCCATCTCCCGGAGCTGTCAGGAAACTCCAGACTTAACCCTCGACCCTTGAGTTGACGTGCTTTTTCGGAGGCTCCTTGGACGCATGCGCCTTTGATGGCTAACCTAGCCTGTGAGAGACTACACTTCCCAGAAGACCATGCCGGGGGTGGGGGGGAATCCCGTGGTCGAGGGGCGGGGGAGGGAAAGACCCGAAGGCTCGCGAGAAAACGAGGTTGCGGCGGCTGCGCGAAGTGGGAGGAGGGGGTGGAGAGAGCGAGGAGGAAGAGGAGGAGGTGCCGTCCCACAATACCAGGCGGGAGGGCGGGTAGGCGGTTTGTATCCGGGCTGTGAGGTGCTCGGAGGCTCCGCGGACTTTGCTGCTTCTGTCTCTTTAACGCGAGAGGAAGCGATGCGGAGGGGTGGAAAATGGCAGAGCTGCAGATGTTACTAGAGGAGGAGATCCCGTCCGGCAAGAGGGCGCTGATAGAGAGTTACCAGAACCTGACGCGGGTGGCCGACTACTGTGAGAACAACTACATACAGGTGAGGCGCGCGGGCGGGCGCTGGCCGGCCGGGCCGAGGACCCCGCCGCCGGCCGCCAGAGTGACCAGCCCACTGGGCGGGGTGGGGAAGTGCCCTAACCTCGGCGGCCGCCTCAGCCCCAACCCCAGCCCCAGCCCCAGCCCCAAATCCCAGCCGGGGAGAGAGCGAGTGGCCGGGTGAGGGTTTCGGGCTGCCATACAGGAAGTGGCTGTGGTGGGTGAAACCGACAGAAGGGGAGCGAGGAAGCGGGCGAGGGAGCCCGGAGCCCCCTGCCGTCTGCCTCCCCGCGGCTCGGCCCCCAGTCGCGCCGCCCCCCGCAGCCCTCCCTTCCCCGGTGCTGTCCCGGAGAGCCGGCGGCCGCCCCGCCGCCGGGAGAGGGGTCTGGGACGGGCAGCGAGGGGAGAGGGAAGGGCAGGGACCAGGCGCAGGGAGAGAGGAAAAGCGCGGCGTGCGGCGGCGGAGGCTGGGGTGGGGGCGGTTATGTCAGTTCAACCCAGAGGGTGTGTCTTTTATTTATTTATTTTTTAAAAAATTTGTCATGAGTCACATTACACAGACCTCCCCAAGGAGGGGAGGAAGCGGGTGGGGAGCGAGGGAGGGCGTAGAAGAGAAGTTAATCTCAAAATTCCTTTAATTGAAGGTTTGTAAATCTGCCTGCCTGTCCGTTTGCAAGTCGGGTTTTTCCCTCTCATCGTTTTCACTTCCGCCCCACCGTAATCTATTCTAGAGGTTGTTAGGGCTATCGTTACTATAAAACACAGATTGTTCTTAACCGCTTGGAAAAATGCCTTAAATACGCTCTCGTCCCCAAAAGTTCTTGAACTGTTGGCTTCCTGAGTAACTTAAAATAGAATGGTGTAATCGCCGGTTGCTTATTTTCTGAGGTTTCTCTCTTTCCAATCTAAGTAAATGTGTAGAATATAAATTCAAGTAGATTACAGGACATATTTAGTCTTAAAATCATAACGTAAAGTGTCTTACTGTAAATTTATTAGCAGATTCTTGGGGCCTTTTCTGTGACAGATGCTTGCTTGTTCGTTTTTATTTTAATGATTGAAAGTGAATTATGTTGTGGTAGTTTGGTTTGTAGATCTTTGCGTAAACCAGCAGTTTGCAGTAGAAGCCAATTAGCAGAGGCCTTTGTATCAATATAATGGCACCAAAAAGTCGCTTGTTAGTGGTAAGGCATGACCAGAACGTGCTTTGAAAGGTTAGGGGTATTGCAATTCACAACTGAAGTATGTATAGAAATGCCTCCCATGTGATTATCGTTTTTAAAAACCAATAGTTTGTGTTGGCAAATGGTTTTCAGCTTTATTTTTAGAAGGAGATACTGTTTTCAGAATATTTTGAATATTTCTCAGTTTCCATATTAGTAACATTGTATCTTCAGTAGTATTGGTAGGAATTTATCTCAAATTTTTTCAAGCTTTTACTTTAGGAATTCTACTGATAAATAAACTTGTTGAATGCTTGCTATGTCTACTGTATTATTTGTTTTTGCAAACTTTATATTTAGCCTTTTAAAAATATTCTGAATTATGGTAGAAATGTGGATATGGTTTTTAAATAGAAAAGTGATTTTGTAGTTTATCGATATTAAAAATATACAACTTTTATTTAACTTAACATGAAAAGCCTTAAAATTGAGGCAAATCTCAATTGCTGAATGTTTTAAAGATTTTGAAAGTCAAAGTCACAGGAAGTCATATTGCCCTCATTCTAGAAAAATCATTTCTTTGTAGAAGTCAGCAGATAAGCGCTTCATGAAGGGGTGGCTTCTTTTTGTTCTGCATGTTGGGAAATCTGACAAATATATGGTGTGGTAACTGCTACGTCTTGGCAAATGCAAACGTGTTTTAACCTGTCTGTTGACTATTTCTTTTTCAGGTAGTTGTGTGATCTAAGGCTTTTTTTCCCCCTGCTACCTTTCCTTTTCCCCTCCTGCTACCATCACATAACTTTGAAACACTTCTAAACTTGGTAATATCCGTTAATTAAGATAAGTCATGTTATTTTTCATGTAGTCTCTTACTTTTAAACATGTTAGTACCATGGTGCCAAGAGCCACTGTTAGTGGCCCCTAATTTTTTTTGGCGGTCTTAAACTTGACACCGGTGAAGTATGCTGATCTTACTGGGGGGAAAAAAGATGAAATTCACACATAGCAATGTTTATCTTAGTAGCATTTAAACTTTGGGCTATGTGATGCAGGCCACTAGCTGCCTTACCAAGAGGCTCAGACAGGGTCAGGCTCAGACAGGCTGGGAAGATGATGGAGACTTTCTGGAAGTTGATGTGGTAGCTGACTGCATGATGTGCTGTGCTGCTAGCTATGGTGCTGTGAATAGGTAACAGGTAGTACTAGAAATATCCATTTAGATGTCTTTTGAGATCTTTCTGTATCCCTTCTGTGACCCTGATTGGGTTATAATCAACACCCTGCATAAACATACCTCTTCTCAGGGAAAGTGTATGGTCGCTTGTGTTTTGAGAATTTTTTATACCCAGGTGAGTTAAGTTATTGACTGGGTGCTTTTTTGTGTGTGTGAGGAAGACTGGCTCTAAGCTAACATCCATTGCCAATCCTTCTCTTTTTGCTGAGGAAGATTAGCTCTGAGCTAACATCTGTGCCCATCTTCCTCTGTTTTGTATATGGGATGCCGCCACAGTGTGGCTTGATGAGTGGTGTGTTGGTCTGCGCCTGGGATCCGAACCTGTGAACCCTGGGCTGTGAAGCGGAGCACGTGAACTTAACCGCTACACCATCGGGGCGGCCCCTGCCTGGGTGATTTTTATCCCGAGAGTTCAATTTTCATTTTGTTGTTTGAACAGTCCAGTTCAGATAAGGTGTTTAGCTGACATTCTTTTGGCTATAGTGCAGTGGAGTCCTTGCACACTTTATTAGTCCTTGGGTCCTTGACTTTAATTATTAATAGCAAAACTTCTCAAAGGAGTCCACTATCTTAAAAAGGACAGGATTTTTGAAATTGTTATAGGGGAATAATATTCAAAATAGAAGTGTGGGGCCGGCCCGGTGGCTTAGCGGTTAGGTGCACGCGCTCCGCTGCTGGCGGCCCGGGTTCGGATCCCGGGCGCGCACCGACGCACCGCTTCTCCGGCCATGCTGAGGCTGCGTCCCACATACAGCAACTAGAAGGATGTGCAGCTATGACATACAACTATCTACTGGGGCTTTGGGGGAAAAAAATAAATACATAAATAAACAAAATAGAAGTGTGTTTGTATAGACATTTATATAGACATAAAGAAAAATCTTTGCCTTTCCATCTTTAGTTTGAATTTTTCTGGTGGATTTTGTCAAGGACGGTCACTCCTCAACTTGAACTCACTTATTCATCACTTATTCATCTCTTTGCTCTACTTTAGGGTCTATATTGCCTTTGTCATGGGAGCTATTTTGGGGAATAGGAAGGGGCGCTACGTGAAAAGGAATGGAAAGGTTTTTCAGCGTGCAGATTGCTAGGTTGGGTAAGGACAGAAAAGTCTTCCATACAGCTTAATTTTCCAATTTAGCTTATCTTGCTACCTGGAATTCCCCCAACAAGAGCTTCATTTGGGTTAACAAGTGTATTCTAAAATCCGAGAGTATGAAGGGGATATTATCAGTGAGCTGTGTAGTTTAGCTTTGCTCCTCCCGTGACGTCTGGAGTTTATGCTCGTTTGCTTGTTGTGCACATTTGATCTTGGAAGGCAGGTAGTTTTTGAGCAGGAGCACTTTGGAGTAAGTAAAAGCTAACATTTCTGGTACTGTACGATTTATGCCGGTTTATAAATGGTGTCACTTAATTATTACAATTATAATAATTCTATGTTTTTTTCTTTTTCTTTTTTAACGGATGAGCAATCTGAGGTTCAGAGACATTAAATACCTAGGCTGAAGTTCCATATCTCATATGAGATAGTGCCTGGAGTCAAACCCAGATTTTTCTGATTCCATATCCTAATCCTAAATTCCTTTTAATGAATACTGAATACTATGTTGCTTATTGCAACATAGGGGATAAAAAGAATGTGCAAGGAGGGTAATAGAAAAGGGAAGAGAGTAATATGCTTTTACTTATTGAGTACCTACTCTGTCACAGTCTCTGCTGATAGATATGTATTATCTTTAAGCCTTACAAAAACTCTCCATGATTGGCAGTATTCTCTTGCAAATGAGGAAATCAGGACTCAGAAAAGTTAGGTGAATTTTGTTTGATCCTACAGTTGGTGATTGGCAGTCAGGTTTTCTGCCTAACTGTGATAGGCTCCACAGGCTGTGCTCTTTCCACATCGCGCTGTCTCCAGATGCGAATGAGTCTAGAACTTATACTAGCTCAGAAATGTCATGGAATAAATAGACACTTGTTGGGCATGTCTGGGAGCCTAACAACTATTTTACCATTGTTTCTTCTGAGTTGCAAGTAGTGAATATAAGAACAGGTATGTCTGTAATTTGGAGATTTGCCTGGATCTCCCAGAGATGGTAGCTTTGGCACTTGAAGTGTCGACTTACAGGAATCATAGGCTAGTTTTTCACCAAGCTCAGTGGATTCTTTTCCTTTCCTATGCATCCTTGCCTGTTTTTTCTACTCTGATTCAGCTTTGCAACTTTGATAAGAAAATTTGTAGAAGAATTAGTAGAAGTCAACAAAACAAAAAATGTCGAAGTATTTTGGATGGTTCTGATTTCCACACCAACCAGGTTCAGGTAAAGATGGTCGGAATGATTGAGGAGATTAGGACAGATTGGAAATGGTAGAATTCTTAGACTTGCATTTTGAAGTTTGAGTGCAAACTCAAACAGTGGCTATCAAAATTAGAAATATAGGTTGGAAATCTAAATGAATTAAACAGGGCCGGCCCCGTGGCTTAGCGGTTAAGTGCACGCGCTCCGCTGCTGGCAGCCTGGGTTTGGATCCCGGGCACGCACCTACGCACCGCTTCTCCGGCCATGCTGAGGCCGCGTCCCACATACAGCAACTAGAAGGATGTGC